AAGGTGGGGCCTATAATTATGCTACAGTAATTTTTCAGTTTTCTCAAGGTTTTTCATTCAATAACAAGAGACGAAAGGGAAAGATGGTGGGACCGAGTAGTGCGTGGGTGCTTCTATGTACGCATACCATTAGCAGATCAGTATCGTTTATCATGGAAATAAAACAAACATTTTTGACTGTATATGCAAGGGGGGTCTATAATTTTGCCACCCCCTGTACATATCTTTTTTGTAATAAAGCGCATCTCAGGATGCAGGGTCTATGAGCATCCTTTTTTAAAAATTCTTATCTATCAAGCGGAGAAAAGGGTTGAGAAGTTCATTCACTCGTAAAACTCTTAAAAAATGGCGCTCTAATTATTAAAGTGCTTTTCAATATAATAATAACAATGTGCCATTCAAAAAATGGAGCCTTGCAGCACCTGCAGTTTTTGATGCTCTTTCAAACAAAAAAAATTTATGTACATTGAAAGTTACTGGATCGAAAAATCTTGAAAACAAAATCAAAAAATCATAAACTGAGAAAAAACGAAAAACTTTTTTGTTTTTCAAAAAACCGCTTATTTTTCGAATAGTGGATGACAGAAATCGTGAAAAATTTTTTGAGAGAATTGAGGTACTGAGGAAAAACCTTTATTGTTTATGAAAGAGCAGATAACGGGCTATCTTTCCATGCATTTATCTCAATTTCGAAACTTCTGACGAAGATTGACTTTTTTTGAGGGGGGAAGGTGGCCTTAAATATTCGAAAAAACGTACCTGTAGACAATCATTACCAACACACTGAACAAGGTCAATGCCAGGCTGTTTGAGATAGATTTGAAAGGCGACTTTTGCTAATTGTTCCATTTTGTTAGCGCCCAACACCGACTTGATGTCACGAATTAAACAGGAAGCATTACAACCGTCGATAAGACAACAGATTTTGAATGCATCTCGACTGATTGTGGAATCACAGCGTGATACAAAGAAATCGTATAAACAGGCTCGACAGTATGTATGTCCACACTGCTGTAGAGCATAAGGTGTTTCACACACGCTCATACATAGAGGACATTCGGTATTTTTATTGTTCGCCGTTTTGCATGTCGTTTGTATCTGCGGAAGTGACGCGAGTAGAGCACGCACACGATTTTCACAATCATTTGCTGCTGTCTGCTCACCCCTAATACATATGACACGCTTGATTATGTTCAATTCAACCGATACTTCATCATTGCCAAGGTTTTTGAATTCACTTGCTTTTTTCAGGCATTGTCGCAAACATCCTAAACACATACAAGATAAATGCATAAATCGGTTAACTTTGTTTATGTGGCTTCAAGTCAAAGTTAATCTGGTAATCAGTCTAGATCAGGTTTTACTGTAAATAGTAAAAGTATTGCTAATACCCTGTGAGATAGGCACTGATATAGAATGATTGATGTTGAGGATAGCATTTTGAATAAATGTATCTATTTCTTTGTAAGCTTCATCGCATGCATTATCTTCACCAAATATACGGAGAAATGTTGATGACCAATTCCACCAGATGTAAGTTTTTGTACGTTCTTGAAGAGATTTGAGAAATTTCTTTCCTTTGTCATCAAAGATCACTGATATCTGTGCATAAGAAACGAATGAGTGATAAAATATAGCAAAATATATTTTGCGTACGAACATACCCATGATGGTTGGTGAAAACGAAATTCGAGTCCCTTCACCAGTCGGGAGAAAATTTGCCGTACTTTTGCTATCTCTAAGTTATCTGTGCCTTGAATGTAAATGCGTGTGGCTTTCTTAGCATTCGTTCCTGTTTCCTTCTTTCGTACTGTCGTATTTAACAAACACATATTTCGGATTGTTTCTAATGCCGAATCAATTTTAGGTTCAATCGCATTAGCTAAAGATGCATTGAGTACAATGATATGATCGTTCAATGGAGCTAAATGTAGTTTGTATTGACCAAATTTGAGCAGATCTGGATTGGTCGGATTTGTATAGAGTTGCATGGCTTTTATGACATCATCTGGGTTGTCATAGAGAACATGTGCAGTCACACGGCCATCGGCAGTCGCTGGATTAATGTTTAATTCCGGTTCTGATCGAAAGTCTTTACGCGAATTAAACAATGACATTAATTTGTTCAAATCAGTTTGCAAAGCTGGTTTTTTCGTGTGATTGTTTTGTTCACTGCTTTCTTCGACTAGTTTCTTACGAAAAATAACGACGTAAGTTATACTATCCGCAAGGGGATACTGCCGGAGTTCTTTTAGAAGATCTTCTTCAATTATTGTGGGTGGCAACTTAGACATATTAACAATGTATTCGTCGCCAAGTATTGTTCCTTTAGTAGTCTTTGCTGATTTCATCAATGACATACGTATTTTTCCACCACCAATTAAATTTGCACGACCATCCATTTCAGCAATAGCTGAATTCGCTTCACTCTCATCAGCAAAGTGAACAAAGGCTTCCACGCGACCAGAGAACAATTTTGCGCTTACCATAACTGACTCACGCTGAAATGACTTATAATTGTTAAACAAACGACGAATGTCGTCTTCTACACCATCTGGTTTTTCTAATTGGACACCTTTGGTACCTCGAATTAAACTCACTTTGGTACAATTAGGAAAGTGCTCTCTCAGATCCTCCTCATCGAATTCTGGTGCCACACGTTTGATACATAAGGAAGAGCTTTTTTTATTGCTGGGGTTGATACTCATTTGCCCGATCGTCTTTTGTTGAAGTACCTGAAATAAGGTACATCAAATAAAACTTTTACATAAAATGACTTAAATACTCTACATACTTGCTGTACTTCTTCATCGGTGCCAAACTCGACGATTGCCATACCAGTGTGTTTCTCAATTGGCCAACAACATCTTACCGTTGGCTTAAAGGTATTCACTTTCAGTCGACATTGGCAAGTAAACACTCTTTGTAATATGTTAAGAGCTTGTTCAGCAGCTTCCCGTTTACTAAAATTTACTTTGCCATTACATTCGGATTCTGTAAGGAACCATTGAACTTTCAGTTTGCAGCCTTGTGTACTAGTATGAACTGATGTACGTACATTGGTTGGGCCGACAGTTATGCGTCGCCCGTCCCATGTTTCTTCGGATAGACGTACAACTGAATCACGAGCATGAGCACCTTCATAGTAGGTCACTAAGGCCGAAGTACCATCGACACCTCTGCTCACGAAGTTGATACTGCGAACTATATGAGAGAAGAAAAATCGATTACAATGGATTCTATTAAGTATGTAAGTGATGTTTACCTTTCCCACAGCGTCGGAATTTTTCTTCAAGCTGCTGTTCTGTAACATTCGTGGGCAGACCACGAACAATCACTTTAACGTATTCATTTTCCAGTAGCATCATCAATGGAAGACTACCTGTGCCTAATAGCACACGTGTCGAACCGACGATCTCGTATTCTTCTGCTTCAGTAACGAGCTTTTCTCGTTCCACACGCAGCAGCTCTTCGACTCCTCGTTGTGCATCAACCAACATGCTTGGGTGACACCATATAGTCAATGTTCCTTGTGCATAATCGACGTCTAAGACTGCTTGAAATGCATCTTCGAGTTGTTGTTTTTTAGCACATCGCTTACCAAAGCAGGCCACCAACAATGAAGGCCCTAAATTTGAAAAAGTATGGCTGCCAAAAATGCGATCAGCAGGTTGTTGGGGTAAGGAAGCGAGCCACCCTGGAGGTAATGCTTGAAGTTCAACGGGACACATAGTGGTCATGTAATTGATGCCATTGAGGTTAACAAGCTCGTGGTATAATGCATATTTCGGTGGTTGTGTGGCAATCGTCAAACTTGATGTACGATAGACTTGGGCATTGATCTTGTTGGATGCTGCAAGTTGATATCCAGATCGAAGAGGCCCATTAGATATTGCCAAATGTTGAAAATAACCAGCGCTAACTGAATTCAAAACATTATCTATCAAGATTCGATCGAACGGTGGCTCTGTAAAATCGAGTTTGAAGATTTTTAATTGTCGTGCCGTTTCGTTAGCGAATTCGAGCGCCATATTCATTGCTTTGCCATTTACCATATTGTTTCGGCACCATTCACTACGATTTCGTCTCTCTAGAGTATTCCATTCGAGGAAAATTTTCAATAACTGAATATGATCATTCCCACAGTCGTTTTCATGAGAGAAGTAGGCTCGTTTCTCGTCTGCAAGCTGCTTACTTTCTGTATTCTTGCCGCGCCACCAGACACTTTGCGCTACACTTAGCATTCCTGCAAGAGCAAGCACATGACTTACACATGATTTTTCTTTACCATGTAGAATCATTGCTGATAGCATGGGCGACAGACCCAGCTCGGCCATACGCTGTCCAATTTCTGTTAATTGACCAGTGTTACTATCGATTGCATTGAGCCAAGTAAGACTCGTCACAGCATCACGCATACTTGCTGCTGATGGTGCCTCAAGCCATTCGAACTTTTCGATGTCATCTGCTACACCAAGATATTTCAGTTTGAGAACAGCAATGCTCGGTTGAATGCATAGAATTTCTGCACGAGGACATATATCGAACGATTCATACGTCTCTTTTGTATACAAATGATAGCACTAAATTATAAAGTACAATAAACAATTTTCGATTGAAGAATTGCGTCTAGTGAAAATTTACCTTTCCGGAGGACGTTCGACCTGCTCGACCTCGTCGTTGTTTGACAGAACTCTGAGTAATATTTCCAATTTTTAAAACTTGCATATTTCTTTTCTCATCCCACATGGATTCTTTGACCATACCCGATTCGACTACATGTCGAATACCATCGATAGTTATCGAGGTCTCGGCCACATTTGTGGAAAATATAATCTTACGTTTATTAACAGGAGTTGGTTCAAAAATACGTTTTGTGTCGTCTTCATTTAATTTACCATGCAAAGGCAATACTAATGCGGTATCCTTCAGAAGAGATTCTACTTCATCTACTGATCGATCTATTTCATCTGGCCCAGTCAGAAAGACGAGAATATCACCCGAACTTTGACTATTATGAATTTCGCATACTTTCGCTATTGCCGCATCCACGTATTGATCGACATCGTCACTAGCATATTCATCTTCAATCGGATACGTTCGTCCAGCTACTTCAAGTAAACATGAGTCTTGGTAGTATTGACGAAATAAATCCGTATTTAATGTGGCCGACATGATGATCAGCTATTCATAGAAGTTTCATTTATGTGAAGAAGTGAAGATTCGAGATACAAACCTTAATGTCGAATCGATCACGTAAACATAATTTCATAATACCAAAAAGTAGATCAGTATCGATACGTCGCTCATGAGCTTCATCTATGATTACAATGGAATACAAAGACAGTTTTGGATCGTCATGATATTGACTGAGCAAGACACTGTCTGTCACAAAACGAATCTTTGTTGATTGTGACACACAGGGGCGATTTGCTCCAATGCGATAGCCAATCTGTGGGCAATACAATAAAACAATAACGTTAAAACAATACTTAGTGTGATTACCTCTTCGCCCACTGTACAACCAAACTCTTCGGCAACCCGACTTGCCAAAGCTCGTGCAGCTAATCTACGTGGCTGTGTACAAACAATTTGACCTGTACACAAATATAATTCGCTCTTATTCAGCACACTGATTTATACATACGCTGATCGGCAAGTCCAGCATCTAAGAGGTATTGGACTAGTTGAGTACTCTTGCCGGAACCAGTGTCTGCCTTCAAAATGAGTACGCGACTCGAGCGGATGGTTTCGATCAAATCCTTTCGGCGTGCATATATCGGCAAATGGGATTGTAGTCGTTTAATTTCACGTTTGATTGCACCTAGCCGACGTTTAGCTGCATTATCAGTGGTAGGCGGTGGAGCATTTTTAAGAGAATCAATTTCTGAATTGAATATTTCCAATTGCGATTTATATTCTTTGAGAAGACCTCGTTTAACGTTGATTTCATCATCATTTGTGTTCTCAACTAATGCAGTCTTCAAATCATTAATAAGCAATTGGTGCTCTTGACGTGTCTTCGGAACCTGTTGCTAAACAACGATATACCAATATTTCATATCAAACACATTACTTGTCTTCGATTACTCACGCAGAATAGCTGTTGACACTCGGTCATTATCTCACCTACTATCAGTGAGGAAAATGGTTCAGCGCGTGGCGAGTGATCGAATGGACAGTTCGGCTGCTTAGCACAAGTAGCCCCATATCTACACGATTCCTTTTCATCCGGTAATGGGGGTGGAATCGATAGATCATCAGGATGACCAAAATGGCAGTTTGGTCGTCGCCTGCAGTTCACACCAAAGTTGCATGCCTTTTTAGGCTTTGGGCTTTGTGCTTTAGGTGAAACTATAGTAGAAGCACCATTGTCCATCGAGTGTCGAAATTTACATGCATTTCCCTTTTTGCATTTATCTCCGTAGCTACACAACCGTTCTGAAGCCATCTCTACAATTTCTCTCTAAAATTCAAAGCAAACAAGTAATGACTGGCAGTGCTTCCTACTTATAAGACAGTATGTGACTCAAATGTTGTTCGATCGTTTACCCTGCTTCATCGCAAATTTTTCATTTTCATTTTCAGTCTGGTTTTTCTCCCATGAGGACAATGATTTCTCCTTTCTTTTCGGTATTTTTATGAATTTACTTAATTTTTCACCATCACCGTGCAGCTGTGCCAAACTTTTGTATATGCAAATAACAATAAAACAATCGAAAAAACACAATAGTAGTACGTGCGTAACAATTATGCTTAGGCTATGCTGAAATTTAATCGTGAAGCACACAGCTTTTTTTGTAGTTCTTTATATACATTTTTTTCACGCTTACGAATGCGTAACACACTGATCCCACCCAGCAGGCAAAAAAGGGTTTGTAGAAAGCTGCTGCGACGCTTTCCGATCAGGCTCAATGGATCTCAGCAAGTGGCATGGTATCTCTATGTCGATTCGAACTTTGTCATATATCCAGCAAATCGGGGAAGCTGGAGCAGCCTGTGGAGAATCTGGATCCGCTGAACAATGCAAAACAGAAACTATCTCTAAGCTAAGGGTCTAAACTCAACTCTCAACTGACAGACGCGGAATCTCCTTTCATTGGATCTCCAACTCCACCACTGCAAAGAGTTTCACGGTTTTCGGCCCAAGGTACCATCGGGAGGTATCGCATCTCCTAACACTTCTCTACAGAGGCACCTGACATCTGTTTTGGTGGCTTCTCCTCATGAAATCTTTTTTTTACAATTTCAGACCCAGAGTACCCTCTGGAAATGCGGCATCCCCATAAGAGACGTTGCGTCTTCTATCACATTTCTACCGAGAATGGCGATATGTCGCATCGTGGAACGAGTAGGTGTTTACGATGGATGAAATATTTTGATCTTTCAGTTCAGGTTCAGTATTCTTAAGGGTGTGGGCGTGGGTGTGGATGGGTGTGGGTGTGGGTGTGGGTGTGGGTATGAAGAACTACAAAAAAAGCTGTGTGCTTCACGATTAAATTTCAGCATAGCCTAAGCA